GCCCTCCCGGGCCCTGCCGCCCGCTGCCCGGGGCCTTCTAGGCCCTCCCGGGCCCCGCCGCCCGATGGGGTGACTCCCTCCGGCCGGAGCCGTCTCCGCCCGCGCACTGCCGGCGCTGGCTCGGCCGGGACGCAGGGTCACGGGAACGTGGGGTCCAGCGCACGCGGCCCCCCGCCTCTGTGCCAGTCCGAGAGCGGGTGACCGCGCCGCTCCCGCTGAGGCCTCCCGGCGTGGGCCTGGGCGGAGACGGGCGGCTCCTGCCGGGTATGGGGAGGGCACGCCCGGACCCGGTCGCCTGCCCGGGCCGTGGCTGCTCCTCTGCGTCTCGTGCAGCCAACGCGGCGCTGACGGGGTCACCCTGTGGAGGGGCTCCGGCCCGGGCGCCTTCGGTCCCGTGGCTCCCGCCCGCCAGGGCCAGTGCCCAGACCCGGCGTGAGGTCCAGTCCACCCGAGGCTCCCGGCGCCCGATGCCCACGGTGCCCGCTCGCCCGGAACTGGCTCAGGCAACCCATTGCAGGCGCCCACCACGCGGGCCTCCCCCTCCCCCTGGGTATTCCTGAACTGCCCGAGTGGGTGACAAAGTCTTTTTAGTAAACTTTACAGGTCACACGTGTGTGGTTTCTGACTCCGCTCGGCCGGGCGGGGTGGAGCGAGGCGCCTGTCTCCCGGGGGCCTGTGCTGGGCCTCGGGGTGCCCCAGGCGAGTGAAGGGAGACCCGGCCAGCAGTGCCCGGCCCCAGCCCGCCTGGAGGAGCAGCGGGGTGGGGGGGAGGGGGTGCGAGCTGTGAGCTCCGTGCCCACGGCCTGGACGGCGAGGGGACAGACCTGGGTGAACTGGGATGGGGTCCCCCTGTCCACTCACTGCCCCTAAGATAACATCTGGGCCTCAGTTACAGTTCACCTCCAGGCCCAGATCAGCAAAACCGCCCCGGCTGAGGTCAGAGGTCAGGGCCGCCGCCCGGAATAAGGCCCACCCTGGTGCCCTCAGGGGGCACCTGGAGGACTCGGGCTACTGAGTCCTCCCCTGGGGCCGCCCCTTAGCCCTCCGGAGGAGACCCGTGCTGCCCCTGCCTGCCCCGGGTGTGGGGGCCAACCGCTGCTGCTGCCCGGTGCAAGCCTCCTGGGTCCTTGGAGTTTAAGGGGCAGGGCCGGGGGGTGGAGGAGAAGGGGGGTACACGTGCTCAGGGGCCAGCGGCCGGGGACCCTCCTTTTGAAGGGCTCTAAGGCTGGCCGTTTGGGGGTGATCAACAGACTGTCCTTGTCTATGCTGAGGCCGCCTGACCCCACCTGCCCCGGGGCGGGGGCTCATGGGGCCCCTGTCCCCCGGGCCCGGGCTCAGGGCGCGGACACGGGGCTGCGGCCGCTGCTCAGCTTGGGGTCCCGGCTCATCCTCCCGCCGCCCTCGGGGTTGGGGGCCGCGGCATCCGTCCCGCTCCTCTGGGCCCCCCTGGCCCTCCAGCCGCCCCGCAGTGCGCCGGCGGCCGCCAGGGGGCGACGTGGGACCGCGCGAGGCTGCAGGGGCCGCACCGCCGGCCCCCGGGTGGGGGCGCTGCCGGGCGGGGGGGGGGCCCGTGCGCTGTGTCCGGAGGAGGCCACCCCTTTCCCGGCGCCGCCAGGAGGCAGCAGAGGGTCCCAGGACCCCCAACCCCATCCCCACCCTCCCACCTTCTACCACCCCCCCGCCCCTACCGCCCCCCCCCCCGCTATACCCCCCTACCCCCCGCCCCTACCGCCCCCCCCGCCCCTACCGCCCCCCCCGCTCTACCCCCCGCCCCTACCGCCCCCCCCGCTCTACCCCCCGCCCCTACCGCCCCCCCCCGCCCCTACCGCCCCCCCCCGCCCACGCCGCATAAAGGGGGGCTGGGGGCGGCCCGGGGAGTCCGGTCGGGAGGAGCCTGGCGCGGGGCAGACCCCCTGGGCTGTGGGCGGGGACGGGCCGGGAATTGGGGGCGGGGTCCCCTCCCAGGTCGTGTTTCCCCGAAGTCACGTGCGCGGGGCGGGGGTGGGGGGTCCGCAGAGGGTGGGCCCCAGCAGGGCGGGGGGGGCGGGGGGCGCCAGAGGCACCCTCAGGCTGAGCCTTGGGGAGCCGCTGGGTCACCGGGTCCGAACCCCGCGGCGATGGGGGCCGCTGGGCGGAGGCTCAGCTCCCCAGGCCCCGGCCCGCGGCCCCTCGGACCCGAGCGGAGGCAGGACTCGGCCGCCCCCCAGCCCAGGCCCCGCCCAGAGCCTGGCCAAGAGCAGCAGCTGGATGGGGGGCCCCGGCCTCCGCCCCCTCCTGTCCCTCCTCCCGTCCCCCCACCTCCTGTCCTCCCCTCCTGTCCTCCCCTCCTGTCCCCCCTTCTGGCCCCCTCCTGTCCCCCCTCACGCTGGGGGACGCGCTCTGGAGCCTCAGGCCGCCCCGCCCACCCGGGTTCTGGGGACCAGGAGGCCGCCCCAGACCGCCCCGCAGTGGGAATGGGGTGGGGGGGGTTGCGTGTGGGGGGTGGGGGTGGGGGTGGAGTGAGGATGGGGGTGGAAATGGGGTGGGGATCCCGGTCCAGGGCCAGCTGAAGAGGAGCCAGGACACTCCCAGGCCAGACCTCCTGCCCCTTCCAGACCCTGAAAACACAAACAACTTTTATTGATTCCAGAGGGAGAGGGGGGGGAGGGGGGGAGATGGAGGGGGGGGAGGGAGGGGGAGGGGGGAGGGGGAGGAACATCAGTGAGAGAGAATCAGGGACCAGCTGCCTCCTGCACGACCCCCTCCTGTGGATCGAACCCACAACCAGGCCCAGCTGACAGCCATGGAGAAAGGAGCCCTCCGGCGCGCTCTGGGGGACGGAGCGGTGGGCTGGGAGGAGAGGAAGAGCCGGGTGCTCCCGCAGACAGAGCGCCCGCCACCGAAGGCTTTCCGGGGAGACACGGGACCGGCCCCGCTGGCCGCGGCCCGGCTGGGCAAGGCGGGTCCCCACACAGCTCGCTCACAGCGAGCGGCCAGGGTGCAGAGGCCCCGCGCCCCGGGGAGGGGCAGTGGTGCGGCCGCCCGGCCTGGGACTGGGGCGAGGAGGAGCGGCCCGTGGGGAGGCGGGGGGGGGGGGGGTACCCCGGGGGTGACGGAGTGAGACACCGAGGCCCCTCCCCCGTGGATCTAAAGACAAAATAACACGACAGACGGGGCTGGGGGCTCAGAGGCGGCGCCTTGCAGAGTGGCCCCGGTGCCAGGCCGGCGCGGGGTGCAGCTGGGACCCTGTCCCGCTCGGACGCCGTCAGATGGACAGAGGGTCCTCAGCGTGAGCGCCCGGGAGCTCCACCCCCTCACCGGCCTGTGCACCTGGCACTCTGACCCTGTCTGTCCGCCGCCACCGACGGCCAGACTCTCTGCACCAGAGGCTCCTTCCCACCGGGAGCCCAGACCAAAGAAACTGGACTCAATTTCTTTTTTAAAAATATTTTTTATTGATTTTTCACAGAGAGGAAGGGAGAGGGAGAGAGAGAGAAACATCGATGAGAGAGAAACATCCATCAGCTGCCTCCTGCACACCCCCCACTGGGGATGTGCCTGCAACCAAGATACATGCCTTTGAGCAGAATCGAACCTGGGACCCTTCAGTCTGCAGCCAGTGCTCTATCCACTGAGCAATCCAGTCAGGGATGGACTAACATTCTTAAGTTCAAGTTTAAAAAGTCTAAGACCAGCCCTAACCGGTCAAGGGCATGCACCTTGGTTGCCGGCACATCCCCAGTGGGAGGGTTGCAGGAGGCAGCTGATCGACGTTTCTCTCTCATCGATGTTTCTGGCTCTCTATCCCTCTTCCTTCCTCTCTGTAAAAATCAATAAAAATTAAAATAAATAAATAAATAGGCCAGGACCAGAAGGAAAACAGCCTCGAAGGCAAGGCAGCCAAGGCCGGGCTGGGCCGATGGAGGCGCCACGTGACCCGCTGGGCGGCCGCTGCCAGAGGCTGGGCTGGGCGTGACTCACCGGGGCCTGCCTGGACGGCTGCTTGGGCGGTGGCCGGCCCAGCAGCCAGGTCCGGAGGGAATGGGGAGCGGGAAGGAGCGGCGCTCAGGCTTCCGGGACCGGAAAGGCTGGTGCTCTGTCTTCAGGGTCCCGTGGCTGTGCCCGAGGGAGAGGGCGGGAGGGCCGTCACCCTCTGCCAGGCCTTTCCTCCGCCTGTGGGGCCGCAGCCTCCAGGGTCAGAGCCACAGCCAAGAGCCTCCTGGGATGGACCCGGCCTAGGGGGGACCCGGCCTGGGGGGACCCGGCCTGGGGGGGACCTGGTCTGGGAGGCAGCCATGTTCCCGGCACCAGGTCTGAGTAGACAATGGATCCACATTCTCCCTCCCCACCCCCCGTCACTGGGAGGGAGCTGGCCTCTCCATCCTTTCACACCCACGTTCCCTGTGACTCACACTGCATTCCTATTGTGAGACCAGACACTCCCCCTGGATCCGGCCCCCAGACAGCTCCCGACAGAGCCGCCTGGAGCCCTTTATTCTTATTTTTAAATATTTTTTTTGATGCCAGAGAGGAAAGGAGAGGGAAAGAGAGAGAAACATCAGTGATGAGAGAGAATCAGGGACCAGCTGCCTCCTGCACGCCCCCTGCTGGAGATGGAGCTCACCACCCAGGCACGTGCCCTTGACCAGAATTGAACCCAGGACCCTTCGGTCTGCAGGCCAACGCTCTATCCACTGAGCCACCCTGCTAGGCCGAGCCAGGAGCCATTTAAAACTTTGGGCTCCCCACCCCCAGGGTCTGGAGCCATTTGCGGGCCCAGCCCACCTGGTCCCGGGTGACCTGAACCTGTGTAATAAAAGGCTGATATGCAAATCCACTGACAGGCAGAAGGACTGGCCGCGATGAGGCGCGCTGACCACCAGGGGGCAGACGCTCAGTGCAGAAGCTGCCCCGGTGGTGAGTGCGCCCCCGAGCTCACGGCTGGTGATGCAGCCGGGGCAGAGCCTCTCCCGCCTCCCTGGCAGCTCTGAGGGGGCAGTGGACACCCCCTGAGGCTTCCG